TACGTTAATAACTTTTCGCTTTTTATTACAATAATGTTGTGCTTGGGAGAAGGTCACACTAGAAATGAATATAAAGAGAGAGGACTTAGGGTGCAGGTCGTTACAGAAAACAGTTTTCCCTTCTTAGGCGATCCCTTTAGTCAACTCAATATCAAAAAAGGCCTATCTAGAAACTTTATTTTCTCGAATTTTGGGCGCACTTTTGGAATTCGGCCGCACTGTGCGGCGGGTCAACTCAATATCAAAAAAGGCCTATCTAGAAACTTTATTTTCTCGAATTTTGGCCGCACTTTTGGAATTCGGCCGCACTGTGCGGCGGGACGATTACATGTGAACCGATTTTAAAATACAAAAATATCGCTGTCCTTATTTTAGATATTCTTCAATTCTGGGGGTAGGTGGACCACCCCAATGTACATACACATGTATGAAGGCACATAAGTATTTCTGACTGCGTTAAATGGCCAGCAGAGGTAGCGTTCACTTTTGACCCAAATATTAAGCGGTTCGAAAAAAATCGAACCCATAGTGGTGTAAAGCAATGCATGCAGATAAATCTGAAAATATTTCCACTTTTCGCTGATATTTTGGTAATTACAGTGATTTGGAAAATATTTTGTGCAGTGCAGCAGAACCGGTCTGCAAAATCAACTACGAATGCTTGGCCAAGTGACCACCAACCAGTGAATGGGGCAAATCGGTGTATGGATGGACGACATACTTACATACACTCGTACTTATGTACATACATACGTATGTAGCAAATTACTAAAAATGCGGGGCACACCTCTGAGCTCTTTCTTTTGCAAAACCTTATGCAATGGCTATGAGAATATGGCAAGCGAATTTCCCCACACTAAGCGCGAATGGAAAGCGAAAGTGTAGTGCTTAGAGTGTAGATAATTGAATAGTAAAAATAATTTACGAGAAAATTTGTGAAATGGTGGAAATCAATAAGACTGTTTTTATATTTGCGCTTAAGGCTAATTAAGTAAGTTTGAGCCTGAGTCAAGTTTTTGAAATTTTATATTTGGTAAAACAACAATGATTCAAATCAGTAGTGCTATTACAGAGTGTTCAAATCAATTTCTCATCAGACTTCCATGAGCTAAGTTCGGCTGTTGTTGCCTTTTATAATTTTTATTGCCAACTCAACTATAATCGAAAGCATCTATTTGTAGTTGTTTATTATTGCTGATGTTCTTTAACAGTTTTATAGAGATTGGGGCCGTTTTTTTATTATTATTACCTCCCTTTTATTAGCTCGGGATGTAACTATGTAATATTGGTGCGCCTAAAAGATGAAGCGATTTCTATTCTCAAGTTACATACTTGGTGGCAGTACAATAGCGAGGTTTTAGTGTTTTTTTAACTATAATTTTTTATTAAGAATTATTTTTGTAGATTAACTCCACCATTGAAAGCGAATGGTCTGCCCACTGAGCTAAGTTCGCAGTGTAAACTGTTGTTGCTTATTCCACTATTTCATTGGTCAACTCCTCCACAATCTTCTCCTTCTTCTTTTTTGGTGCTGTAACCGCCTAAGCGATTTTGGCCGCGTTCAGCAAAGCACGCCAGTCGTTTCTCTTCTGTGCCAACTGACGCCAATTGGAAACACCAAGTGAAGCCAAGTCCTTCTCCACCTGATCTTTCCATCGCAGTGAGGGCCTGGCTCTTCCTCTGCTACCAATAGCGGGTTCCGAGTTGAATACTTTCAGAGCAGGAGCGTCGGTGTCCATTCGAACGATATGGCCAAGCCAGCGGAGCCGCTGTATTTTAATTCGCTGCACTATGTCCATGTCGTTGTAAACCTCATACAGCTCATCGTTCCATCGTCTGCGATACTCGCCGTCGCCAACGCTTAAAGGCCCGTAAATCTTCCGCAAAATCTATCTCTCGAACACTCCAAGAGCCGCCTCATCGGATGTTGTCATTGTCCATGCTTCTGCGCCATATACCAGCACGGGCATGATAAGTGACTTATAGAGTGTGGTTTTCGTACGTCGAGAGAGGACTTTACTCCTGAATTGCCCAATCAGTGCAAAGTAGAACTTGTTGACATTATTATCGGTGCTAATGCTGGTTCCCAAGGAAACGAAATTCTCTTCTTTCTCGAAACTATAACTGTCAACAGTGACGTGGGTGTCAAGGCGCGAGTGGTGTGGTGACTGATTATTTGATGACAGGACATACTTGGTCTTGCCCTCGTTTACCACCAGACCCATTCGCTTTGCTACCCTATCCAACTTGGAAAAGGCAGAACAGACTTCGCAGTTGTTGTTACCGATGATGTCGATGTCATCGGCATAAGCCAGCAATTGCACGCTCTTGTAGTAAATTGTTCCTGAGCGGTTCAGTTCTGCAGCTCTTATTATCTTCCCCATCATCAGATTAAAGAAGTCACATAAATGAGAGTCGCCCGGTCTGAAACGCCGAACAACAAAAATCAAAGTAAAGCTACATATATCATATCCAAGAGTCGGTAGTTGGCACCTTTTCCAAATTTTTAGAACTTACATTGCACCGTAGCAGTAGTCGTCGTTTGAAATACTGGTAGCCGATTTCTCAGTGGATGTTTAATTATAATCAAAAGGTTATCTCTTATTCTCATCTTCTCATTGTACTTAATATAAGATTAACTCACCACCACCTTTCAAAAGATTTATTAATGGCGAAACCTGCTTTTCCTGTAAATCCTGTAAAACCTGCAATCCTGAAATTGGGTTGGGTTGAATCCAAACAGTTTGTTATTTTGCGAAATCCTAGGAAACGAAACAATTGCCAGCTGGCACCTTTGTAATAATGGTTTAAATTTAATTAATGCCTTCATTCTGCTCACACGTATGAGTTGTCAAAAATCATTGTTTTGAAAATGTAATCCTCAAGTAAATGTCAATTACACCAATTTACAAAAGTATTTATGAAATGTAAAAATCAGTACAAACTCAAAAAGCAGTAGATTTTGCGTACTGATTTCGGGCTCTTAAAAATCAGTACAATATAAAAAAGTCAGCACATGTACTGATTAAATCAGCGCATCTGGCCACCCTAGTACATATAAATTAGATACATTCATACGTGTAGTTAAAGTATATTCCAAGCGTACACTTTTCAGTAAAATGGTGTATCTGCATGTTATTTTATTATAATGATTGCGTTTATTTATTATATCTAATAAATGGAAAGTGGTCGTCTGGTGAAGACTGAGAGTAAAGAAAAGCAGAAAAAACAATACATATAAATTTTTTATTTCTTTTAAATGTTTCGACTTGCCATTACAAGGATATTAATAAGAAACCAAAAATATTCACACGTAAATAGAATAAGAATATGTATGGATGTAGAAGAAAACTCAATAAAGAAAAGGTCCCCCTGCAAGAACAGTGACTATCATTTGACAAATCATTTGAGTGGCAAGACTGATAGAGATTTCTGTCGCTAGCTACCTACATGTTTCTATCAAATTCTAAAGGGCAGTGTGAAAAATCTGATGTAAACATTTGTGTACAAATTCTTCCGTCTTCCTCCAACTTATGGCCTTATTTTATGGTTTCTTTTCAACAAACTCAAAAATTGCATATGTGTTAGTAGGATAAATGAGAATGTGTTAGTTTCCATCACACACCTGCAAAAAATTGTGCGACTAATCTCTAAAGAGAGTATTCCGAGATTACTCTCAATCGGGTACAATTGGGCATTAATTAGTCCTAACGGGTACTAATGGAGGTCAATTAGTCTCGATTCATCCCTTGTGGGTATAATTGGAGATCAATTAGTCCCCAACTCATCTCTAACGGGTACTATTAACGATTTAATGATATGTACGCTCTTAGTCAATGAAATTTCATGTGCGGCGTTGGCACATAGAGAGAGTATTCACCTAACAAAACTGAGCATCCCGGTTCGAATCTCAGCTGGCGAAAATTTTTATTTTTATTTTTTAAGTGACTAGTCGCTTTTTATACCCTTTCGGGTATAAATGTGAACAATTAGTCTCTTCATAGGACATGCCCGAACAAAAGCGATCAGTTCATTCCATATAAAGAGATCAAAAGTGGTATTAGTCGCATGCTCCTTTGCGATGGCTCCCGGAGTCGTCCCGGATTAGTCCCATTTTTTGCAGGGACAATTCTTGTAAGGCTGCATTTCATATCCATGCACACATACATATGTATGTATATATGTGTGTATCTATATGCATGTACTTATATTAGTGCAAAGTTATTTACTGAACAGTAGCGCAGAATGAGCAAAAATTTCTGAATTCGTCACTTTAGATATACATATGTCGGAATAGCGTCGGCTGCTTCGTTAGCAATATCCTCTGTAGGAATATCTCTAGTAGATTCGCCAGGATTCTGATCCTTATGCATTTCCCTTTTGGTTTACAGCAGAAGCGTAATGAGTTCCTGAATGATGTGTTCTGTTCGCAGTATATAATTCAATTAAATCCCAATGCCACAATTCTATTGTTTTTATATGATTTGTTCCGAACAAGTGTTTTTCCAATAAAACTCACACTATGACACATCATTCAGGGCCACATTCGGTAGAGTCTGAGACTCGCACCTTGCTTCCAGCAAAGTTGGAACAGAACGAAAAGAGAATATGTTACCAAAGTAATCATGATCAGAAAATGCATACTCTGTTCCAAATTTCCTTACATAACACAGTACAAAAGGTACAAAGTAGCTCAATATAAAACTATACTCTACAATACGCCGACACGGCTTTCCTGACGTACCACACGTCCTCGGGTGTGACTGAAAGAAATCAAAAACTTAGAAATGGTTTGTAAAATTTAACAAATTTATTGGAACAATTATCTAACATAAAATGTTCAAGGTTCCATCTCCGTGACAGATCAAAAGACTTGACATCGTTGTGCACCATGGCTAAACAATTACATATTTTCGGAAAGTAGTTCCCATAAGTTACTCATACTTAACAAACCCTAATTTTATCATTTCACACTTAATACTCTTGCTACAATTTGTAACGATGTCGTGCTCCACATGAACACCACACGTAGACCCCCGCCACATCCCTAAGCGCCCCACACGCCATGATCAAATATTTCTGTTTGCACTTGTGCTTGCACAAAGTGACTGTGGTGCGGTCTACAGCCTTAAACTTCGTTGACATCAGATTCAACGCCTTCGCTTTTAACACTTTCACTAGTGCCAACTTCGTCAATTATGTCCAACATATGGGAACTTCTCCTTCAGGCAATTTTCTTAAATGTTCATGTGAATATTTGTACGTTCTTTTACTCGTCAATGATTTCGAAATATACCTGTCTCCGTCTAAAACCTCTGTCACCAAAAATGGACCTCTGAACTTAGGATCTAACTTCGTTTGATGCCTCTCTTCATTTCTAAGCAAAACGTATTCACCAACATTATGTTTTACAATTTTAGCTTTGTTTTTATCAAATCTAGATTTTTCATAACGAGCATTGCGTTGCATATTTTCCAAGGCTCGAGTTCTTACCAATGAAATATTTACAGAGTTTTCTTCATCATTAATTGGAATAAGACTTAGTGGACGTGCCTCTTTGCCAATAAGTAACTCTAAAGGACTAGCCTTTGTCACCCGATTAGCCGTGGGATTCAAAGCCAATTGTATTTGACATAATGCATCTTGCCAAGACCGTTTACTGGTTTCAACAGCGGTCAAAAGATTTTTCAACGTACTCATTATACGCTCAACTTGACCATTAGCGCGACTTGCACCGGTAGCTACTAAATGTAAATCTATTTTTTGTGAAGTACAAAATTCACGAAAATCTTTACTAGCGAAACATCTACCCTGGTCAGCAATTACGCGCGATGATACACCAAACACCGATATCGAGGACTTCAAAGCTCTAATGCAATTAACAGAGTCAATATTAACAGTGTGATGTAAATAAACAAACTTAGTAAATGCATCGATTTGAACTATTACGTATTCTTTCAGGTCATTTTTACCACTTAGTTTTCCTGTTAT